GAATCGAACATACAGAGTACCCTTGGCTACTCATTTACATAAAGAGTTAAATAAACACACACTGCACCTTTATCAAAATAATAATAATGTTTCACAATGTCCAAAAAAATGCCCAGAAATAATGACCACAAAGATTTTGTGGAAATTGTTAGTGTAACATTTAAGATAGCATTACATTACATATACAAGTGCACAGATTAGCATGATGGTGACTTTTTCACAGGTTTGCAATCAGTAAAAATTCAAATGACATTTCAGTGTCCACAATGTTCAAAAATAATATTCAGAAATAATGCCCCACAATGTCCAAAAAAAACATGCCAATGTGTCCAAAAAAAATATCCCGCAATGTTTATAAAATACTTGGAGGCAGCACCATTGTCATAGACAGGGGTACATAAGGTAAAGGTACAAGGGAGGCAAGGCAATGTGCAAGGTGTCACCATCTGTCCCACATCTTTGTTAACCTGACTAGCATGCTGGCCAACCATTACAAGAGTCCAATGTTCCCTAAGTCAAGACTCAGGCAGCAACTGAAAACATGCAAATGTTAATATCCATGCTGATGCCTCCAGTCAGTGCACTGTGCTCTCCAGAAAACGGGCATGCAGGTTTTCACAGACCACACACACTGCTCGCTTCAACACGCTAACACATGGCAACCCCCCTTCTGGAACACCCACAGTAATCCCCAAACTCTTCTGTCTTTTGTGAAAGCCTGGGACCACTGGATGGATAGGGGATTGAGCTTGGTGAATTTGTTCAAAATCTCTTCTGGATTGTGTTAAGGTGGGAAAACACGATTAGAAAATCGACCGAAAGGCGTTCGTTCGTTGGTCGAAATCGTGGCCCACATTAACTAATCTAAAAAAATTGTTCGTTGGGCAATACGTAGTGTTGACGTCTTCCATGCAAGTGGAAGTGATGCAGTGTCCGTGTGACCTTGTAGCCATGCCCTTCCGACAGAACAAGAATTCCACGCCCTACCGGCCAGAACGAGCGTTACATGAACTATATACATAAATAGTGACGCATAAAAATAGAATATGCAGAATTCTGGTTTCATTATCTCATTAGGCCAATCTACTTTTATCACTTGGATTTTTCGTTTGTGTTTACGAAGATTCCTTAGACATAAACATCCGGGTCATCTTCTGTTTCTGCTCATGCGTGATAGCACTTGATAAATTTTTTGCATACAGCCGCATAGAAAATTGGTCGTTCGTATGCGAAACGACTACCAGATTTTTTCGTTCACAATATCGTTACCAGTTAAAACATCCTGCTCATCAACAAAGAGAAAATCGTTCGATCAGTGGTTCCGCAAAATTTTTCATACAATTTTCTTATCGTGTGTATGGGGCATTACCCTGAAAGCGTGAAGCTCTCTGCACTTTTGGGTCCACAGCTGTCCAATCACACCCTGGTAAGCAGCAGAATGGGGGCCCTTTGTCCCCAGTCTATTTGAGTTGAGTGCAGGCTTTAAATGGTTACTGTCCTATAAAGAGAACATGTCACCTGCACATTACTATCACATATGGGGCTGACCCCCCCCCCCCCCCTCCTTGTGGTCGTAAAAACATTCTGTAAAAATATTTAAATAAAAAACAATATATTCGATAAAAGAAAAAAAAAAGCAAAGGCCAAGACACATGTGCATACATAAATACCTACCACATTATACATATCATAACTGTACATGCGAGTGGTGAAGGGATCATTTTAGGGACATTGTTTCAGATTACATCAAAATTGATGTAACTGTGTACATTTTGAATATTAAAATTTGGTGGGTGGATGCAATTTTGAGCTCAACCTATTTGGTATTTATTAGCTCAGCACAGGGGTTTATTTGTGCATTTCTGCATAGAAACCAATCAGGATTACAGGATTTATTGCTAAAGCTTAATTGAACAAGCGGAGGTTAGCAGTTAATTGGTTACCATGCACAGGTGTACCAGATTCTCAGTGAACCAGCTTTAGGCTGCATTCACACTTGAGCGTTTCGTAGCTTGAAGCTCCAAGCTCCAAAAAAGCTCAAACCTAAAAAGTCAATTGTTCTCTATGGTGCCTGTTCACACCTGATCGTGCAAACAGGCACCATAGCGAACAATTGATTTTTTAGGTTTGAGCTTTTTTGGAGCTTGAAGCTTCAAGCTACAAAACGCTCAAGTATGAATGCAGCCTAAGTTCCCGTTCACATATATATGGATTGAATGCGGTTTGAACCGAATCCAATTTACATGATACGTAAAAAAAATTCCTTCCTATGGTGCCTGTTCACATATGTCCAGAATGCAAGTGTACAATCCAAATGTAGACGTTCCTGCCTTAAAAATGGCTGTGTATAAGTGGGTGCTGCAGCGACCGCCGGCTGGAACTGAACAGAATCAGCAAGGGAGAATGTCACCAGCACACTGAGGATCATCAATGTGGGTCCAAATGTTTTAATGAACGATCACATAGTTACAGCAAGGCAATGTTTCGGAGTCTCGCAGGACCCCTTCATCAGGCATGTGATGGTTACAGCCTGATGAAGGGATCCTGCAAGACTCCTGAATGTTGCCTTGCTGTAACTATGTGGTCGTTCATTAAAACTTTTGGGCCCACATTGGTGATCCTCAGTGTGCTGGTGACATTCTCCTTGCTGTTCACATATGTCTGGTGCACTGGCGGTGCGGATTCAGTGCCTGGACGGTGGCAGTGCAGGGTAGGTAGGCCATTTATAAATGGCCTTCCCGCACCCTGCTTGTGCTCGCTCCCTGGGAGCGCGCTGCACCGCGAACACCGATCGTCGGACAGGACCTCTGTACAAGGTCCTGATCATGTGATCACTGATTGGCCAATCAGTGATCACATGCAGAGTAGTAAGCAAGATGTCACTTGTGAAATCATTGCTTACTACGTGTGAAATCTGTGAATGATGACAGAGGTCACATGGTACAGGGCTATTCACAACAGCCTTGTACCATGTGACAAGCTGTGACCAATCACAGCTCACTCAGTAGTTTTCAATGGCTGCAAGAATGCAGCTAGAGAGAAGGAGAAATGATTGCTTTTACATCCTTTATGGGTGTAAAAGCAATCAGTGTAAAAAAAAAAAAATCTTCATCACCCCCACAAGTAGTACAGTGTCACCATGGTGACACTGTACTGCTAGGGTGACAGTATTTAAATAAATAAATAAATAAAAAATAATATTTAAAAAATTTTTTTAAAAATGTAAAAAAAAATGTTTAAAAATTATAATTTTTGGTTATAAACTAATTTGGGTTATTTTTTTTTACTAAAAATATAATGGAATAAATTTTGGCTAAGATTTATGATGAAATACTATTTATTTGCAACAGTTTATAAGAAAAACACTTTTTTCAAAATTTTTGGACTTTTTAATTTACATTTACAAAAAAAATAAAAATCCCAGTGGTGAATAAATACCACCAAAATAAAGCTTTATCTGTCTCAAAAAAAGCTAAAAAAATTCATATGGGTACAGTGTTGCATGACCACTCAATTGTCATTCAAAGTGTGATAGCAGTGAAAGCTGAAAATTGGCCTAGACAGGAAGGGGGTAAAAGTGTCCGGACTGGAAGTGGTTAACAAGAGTCCTGTCCGATTTCTGAGCAATGCAGTCCAGTTCAAGTGTGGATTACAGGCTATTGACTTCTATAGGAATTGTTTCTAAACCGTATATGTGTGAACAAGATAAGATCCTGAGCTGATCCTGTCCTGAACCTGACGTAAAACTGACATGAACCTGTGAACAACTACTGTATCAACTAATTGTGAAACCTGAGCTTCAATTTGCACTGCATACGTGTGAATCAGCTCTTAGTAAATAAAGCCCATGGTCTTTTTTTTATATTTAACCATTTGAGTCTCCAGGGCCATCTTAACAGTGACAGGGATAGCAGCTATTTGACACAGAGTGGCCCCAACACAATTTTAAAATAGTGCATAATCTCACTGGTTTCTGTGGCCCCCACCAATATTACCATTGAAAGCACCAACTGTCAGTGATAGCCAAGGTCCAGCACTACGTCTAGGAACTGAAATAATTAGCTCTTGTGCTTCTAATCTTGATAAATATGTTCACTCCCTATCTGCCCCTGTGTATCATACGTACGATAGACTGCAAAAACTAGAAGGTATGATTTGAGCTCTGGGACTCCAGGGGTTTAGAAAGAAAAAAATACGTGTGTCCCTTAAAGTGGAAGTAAACCCACTTTGGTAACTTTTATCTACAGGTAAGCCTTTAACCACTTGCCTACAGGGAACTTTTACCCCCTTCCTGCCCAGGCCAATTTTCAGCTTTCAGCACTGTCGCATTTTGAATGACAATTGCACGGTCATGCAGCACTGCACCCAAACTAAATTTTTACTATTTTTTTAGACAGACAGAGCTTTGTTTTGGTGTTATTTAATCACTGCTGGGTTTTTTATTTTTTGTTAAACAAACTAAAAAAAGACTGAAAAGATTGAAAAAGAAAAGTTTTTTCTTAGTTTCTGTTATAAAATTTTGTAAATAAGTAATTCTTCACTGATGTGCGCTAATAAGGCTGCAGTGATGGGCACTAATGGGCTGCACTGATGGGCACTGATAGGCGGCACTGATGAGGAGACACTGGTAGGTGGCACTGATGGGCATTGACAGGCATCACTTGTGGTCATTGACAGGCATCACTGATGGGCACTGAAAGGCAGCACTCATATATGGCACTGATAGGTGGCACTGATTGGAACTGATAGGCAGCACTGACTGGCACTGATAGGTAGAACTGACTGGCACTGATAGGCAGCACTGATTGAAACTGTTAGGCGGCACTGACAGGCACTGATAGGAGGCACTGATGGGCACTGATAGGAGGCACTGACTGGCACTGATAGGTGGCACTGACTGGCACTGATTGGCAACACTTTATAGGGTGACACTGACTGGCACTGTTAGGCGGCACCGACTGGCACCGATAGTTGGCACTGAAAGGCAGCTCTGATGGGCACTGATATGTGGCATTGATGTGCACTGGTAGGCACTGATATGTGGCATTGATGTGCACTGGTAGGCACTGATATGTGGCATTGATGTGCACTGGTATGGGGTATTGATGGGCACTGACAGGTGGCACTGATGGGCCTACACTGAACATCAGGGCACTGATCGTCAGTGCTCTGATGATCAGTATAGATGTCTCCTCTGAGGAATGCCATTTACCAGCTCTCCTCTCACGTGCTGTCAGCATAAGGAGAGGACTGCCAATAACTGGCATTTCCTTGTTTACATGCAATCAGCTGTGATTGGACACAGCTGATCATATGACAGAGCCAACATCATTGGCTCTTTACTCTGATCAGTGATCCGTGTATTCCTAGGAACACAGCGCTCCACCGATTGCCACACCACGTTTCCCCCCGGGGCCCACATGCGCATTTAGAGTGGGAGGATGTCATATGACGCCCACCTAGAACGAGAGACACGCTGCCCGTCTGTCATTTCCTTATCTGTCGAGCGGAAGGCAGTTAATAAGGCTTACCTGTAGGCCCTGTAAATTCACCGTTTAGCAGATATTTATTGTAGAAATTCCGGTGATGTCACCAGTGCATGCGCTCTGCACACTCAATGGACAGCGTGCCATCCATTGAGAGAGCCGTGCTGCTGCTAAAACTTCCTTTGCCTATGCGCTGGAGTGACATCATCACAGCTCAGCCAATCAGATGCTCACAGCTCACAAACCCAGAAGGAATACCAGGGGCAGATGGAGCCTCAGGGAGACATCACAGCGCTGCGCTGAAGGACTTTGTTTTCATGAAAGTCTTTCATAATGTGCTAGTATGAGATTCATACTAGCACATTATACTCTTAACTTGCAGGGTGAAGATTTTTTAGAATTTTTTGGGGTGGCTTACTGCCACTTTAACTACAGCAGGATTTTGTCAGCAGGTTTTGGCCAATGATTCAAAGCTGAGACCTGTTGATTGCCTGTGTCCAAACACAGCCCAGAGTCGGGTTGACAAACAACACAGGGCTCTGTATAGAGAGAAAAAGCAGCACACATTACACATTGGTAGGCACACACTTAACCCTTTGTTCACCCCTTCCCAGCCAATGTCATTACTACAGTGACTGTGTATAGTATTATCACTGACCACTGTATTAGTGTCAATTGTGATGTCAATGTATGTAAGCCAGTTAGAGTACCTACTATCACGAATCATTTAGTGTTAGATTGCCCACCGCACTATCACAGGTCCATTATAAGTTGCTGATCACCACCATTACAAGTATAAAAAAAAAAATAAAGATTCCAGTATCTATTCCATAGATCAGTGGTCTCCAAACTGAGGCCCGGGGGCCAGATGTGACCATTTGCGAGCCTTTTTCTGGCCCTTGGGGCATGATTCCTCCTACTGACACCAACAATGGGCATATAATTCTTGCCACTGACACCAACAATGAAGCACTATTCCTCCCACTGACACCAATGATGGGGCACTGTTCCTCCCATTGGCACCACCAATAAAAGCATAATTCCTTCCACTGACACCATCATTGAGGCACATTCCTCCTAATGACACCAACGTTGGGGCACTATTCCTCCCACTGACACCAATGATGGGGCACAATTCCTCCCACTAAAGATGTGGCATTGTTTAATCCCTCTGACACCAGGACATTTTCTACTCCCACTGGCCACAAGCTGCACCCTCTAAAGCGGTGGTTCTCAACCTGTGGGTCGTGACCCCTTGGGGGTCGAACGACCCTTTCACAGGGGTCCCCTAAGACCATCAGAAAACACATATTTCCGATGTGCAAAGAGCAGCTACTGTGTAGAAAGCAGCTGCTGTGTTGAAAGCAGCTACTGTGTAGAAAGCAGCTGCTGTGTTGAAAGCAGCTACTCTGTTAAAAGCAGCTACTGTGTTGAAAGCAGCAGCAGTATTGGAGGTAAAACGACACTCATGAATTATAATTACTGGATAAATAATTTTATGGTTGGGGGTCACCACAACATGAGGAACTGTATTAAAGGGTCACGGCATTAGGAAGGTTGAGAACCACTGCTCTAAAGTCTGAAGGACAGTAAACTGGCCCCTTGTTTAGAAAGTTTGGAGAACCCTGCTATAGTTTGCTATAACTTTCAAACAAACGAATCAATATACAATTATTGGAATTTTTTTTATTAAAATCATGCAGCATAATACATGTTGCTCTAAATTTTTGAAGAAATTATATTTTTTAATTTATTTTTTTTTACTCAGTATGTTTTATAGCAGAAAGTAAAATATATTGTATTTTTTTTTTCAATATTATCAGTCTCAAATACCACCAAAAGAAAGCTCTATTTGTGTGAGAAAAAAAATTATATAAATTTAAATTTGGTACAGCATTGCATGACTGTGCAATTACCAGTAAAAATAGCACAGTGCTAAGTAGCAAAAAATGGCCTGGCCATGAAGGGGGCAAAAAGGGGGCACTCAAATGGATAACTTTATATGCTTTTTTTTTCAAAAATAAAACTTTATTTCCTTTTTTAAAATTCAGCAGTCACATGATCGCTCTACGTTCCTCCATGTTATACCAGGAGACTCCGGGGGGTGCTGAAGTCGCATCAACCCTGCCTAGGCATGGAATCGGGTATCACCAAAGAAAAGTACCCTCGCTCCTCCCACCCCCAAAGAAAAAAAAATGCATTTAGTTCCAGGTTGTGGGGGAGAAAGAATATAGGGTAAGTTTCATTGTGGCTGATGGCCCCATCTAACCTTTGCAACCTTTGGCATTAACAGAAGGTTTGACGCTTATATGGCATTTTCATACACTAAAATTAATTTTCTGTTTCTATGTAATTTTTTTTTTAATGCCCTTTTACACAGGAGGACTCCACCAAGTGGTTCCGCCTGCTCAGCGGGGAGGATCTGTCTACTGATCGATGTTGAGCAGGCAGATGACAGGTCTGTGTCTGTTCCGCTTGTGCAGAGCAGACACAGACAGAGCCTGCTGTTCTCTATGGGGCAGTTTGGATGTACAGTGAGGAACAGAAGTATTTGAACATCCTGCGATTTTGCAAGTTCTCCCACTTAGAAATCATGGAGGGGTCTGAAATTCACATTGTAGGTGCATTCCCCCTTGAGAGACAGAATTTTAAAAACAAATTCAGGAAATCACATTGTATGATTTTTAAAGAATTTATTTGTCTTGCACTGATGAACATACAGTAAGTATTTGAACACCTAAGAAACAGCAAGAATTCTGGCTCTCAAAGACCTGTTACTGTGCCTTTAAAAAGTCCACCTCTACTCCACTCATTAATCTAACTTAGTAGCACCTATCTGAGCTCTTTAAAAACACCTGTCTACCCCACAGTCAGTCAGACACCAACTACTACCATGGGCAAGACCAAAGAACTGTCAAAAGACACCAGAGACAAAATTGTGGACCTCCACAAGGCTGGAAAGGGCTACGGGGCAATTGCCAAGCAGCTTGGTGAAAATAGATCAACTGTTGGAGCAATTGTTAGAAAATGGAAGAGGCTAAAGACAACTGTCATTCTCCCTCGGACTGGGGCTCCATGCAAGATCTCACCTCGTGGGGTATCACTGATGATAAGAAAGGTGAGGAATCGGCCCAGAACTGCAAGGGAGGAACTGGTCAATGACATGAAGAGAGCTGGGACCACAGTTTCAAAGGTCACTGTCGGTAGAACACTACGCCGTCATGGTTTCAAATCATGCATTGCACGGAAGGTTCCCCAGCTCAAGTCATCACATGTCCAGGCCCGTCTGAAGTTTGCCAATGACCATCTGGATGATCCAGAGGAGGGATGGGAGAAAGTCATGTGGTCAGATGAGACCAAAGTAGAACTTTTTGGTCTAAACTTCCCTCGTCGTGTTTGGAGGAAAAAGAAGGATGAGTTGCATCCCAAGAACACCATCCCTACTGAGAAGCATGGGGGTGGTAACATCATGCTTTGGGGGTGCTTTTCTGCAAAGGGGACAGGACGACTGCACTGTATTAAGGAGAGGATGAATGGGAACATTTATTGTGAGATTTTGAGCAACAACCTCCTTCCCTCAGTCAGAGCAATGAAGATGGGTCGTGGCTGGGTCTTCCAACATGACAACGACCTGAAGCACACAGCCAGGATAACCAAGGAGTGGCTCTGTAAGAAGCATATCAAGGTTCTGGAGTAGCCTAGCCAATCTCCAGACCTAAATCCAATAGAACATCTTTGGAGGGAGCTGAAACTCCGTGTTGCTCAGCGACAGCCCTGAAACCTGACAGATCTAGAGGAGATCTGTGTGGAGGAGTGGGCCAAAATCCCTGTTGCAGTGTGTGCAAACCTGGTCAAGAACTACAGGAAACGTTTGACCTCTGTAATTGCAAACAAAGGCCTCTGTACCAAATATTAACACTGATTTTCTCAGGTGTTCAAATACTTATGTTCAGCAGTGCAAGACAAATAAATTCTTTAAAAATCATACAATGTGATTTCCTGAATTTTTTTTTTAATTCTGTCTCTCAGAGTGGGAATGCACATACAATGTGAATTTCAGACCCCTCCATGATTTCTAAGTGGGAGAACTTGCAAAATCGCAGGGTGTTCAAATACTTCTTTTCCTCACTGTATATGGACCGCCTGTCTGTTTACATCTGACTGTCATCCAATCAGCTAGATGGATGGGGAATGGATGTTTTTAGCGTATTGGATCAGATCGGATGCAGGCGGATATAAACAGACACATGTCTGTTTACATCCACCTCCCCACAGAGAACAATGCGTGGTCCGATTGGGTCCACCTGAAAAATGGACAGATGGACCCAATCAATTCACCTGTGTGAAAGGGCCCTTAAAGCTCTGCTTATCTGCCTCCTCCCCCCTTCCGCTGCCACATTCGGCACCTTTTGGGGGGAGAGGGAAGCTGGTTTTGACAGGTACCCGCTCCATTTTCTGGCTCAGTTGCCCACCCCCCCCTGCAGCACTCTGGAAAACTAAACAAGTCCCAGCAGACTGCAGTCCATTCACATAGCACAGCACGCTTTGCTTATGCACAGTAGGAAACCACCTGTGAAGTTGGAAGGCTTCACTTCCGGTTTCCCTTAGTCAAGATGGCTGCGCCAGCACCAAGTGGAGAATCGGCTTGGGGTATGGACACCGCTGCATCCTGGACGGGTAAGTGCCCTAATATTAAAAGTCATATTTGTAGCTGCTGACTTTTATTTTTTTTTTGGGGGGGGGGGGCAAGGGCCCAGAACTCCGCTTTAAACAGAAAAAACATTTCTTATGGACACATATCCATTTACACCCACCGCTTTATAGAAGAGAATAGAGGTTCCGATTCGGGTCCGCCTGAAAAATGGGCAGATGGACCCGATCGGATCGTCCATGTGAAAGGGGCCATTAGCGGCAACTATCCTCTATAGGTGGTCAGATGGAA